CTCATTAAAGAAAAACAATCAATGGTGGGTAGTTATCAGCTTGGCTCTTGATATGGCTCAGTGAACCAAAATAAATTAAATTAAACCACGTTTATGGGGAAATATAGAAGGTTCAAACAACTGACCTGAAGATCTACTTTGGAATGCTTCTTTGAGTTAGATCAGGGTTTCCCAACTTTGACACCCCTGACATTTTATGCCGAATAATTCTTTGTAGGGGGTCTATCCTGTGCACCGTAGGGTGCTTAGCAGCATTTCTTCCTTCTGCCCACCAGATGCCAGTAGCACAATTCCCACCTGCCTTTCCCTCCTCCCAGTTATGACAACTGAAAAATATCTCCAGACTTAGCCAAATGGCCTCTGGTGGAAAACAGACCGACCCACTGAGATCTACTCAGTTACACAAATATAAAGTTTATCTTGTGTATGCTAGCTATGCTTAGTAATTGCCACATATAGTGCCTTTTCAGAGATAGAAGCATATTGGATATCAGTGGGCCCTTTGTACCCAAGAGCAATGTTGGGGCAGGGGCAAGCCTCTGATGCAGAAGAGGCTTCCAAACCTGCTGTCAGAGCAGGAACAACATGGTCTTGAAATTTCAAATAAATTTTAAGGGATATAAAAGTTCTTATATCAATTAAAAGCTTTTAAGGTTGAGAAACTGAGCTAGAGAATAAGAAATTACCCTGAAACTTACTTCCTGTCTTTTCAAAACACACTGGATTCTGACATAGGGATTTAAGCACTTGGAATCTGTGACTGTGATGACACAGGACAGTATTACAGGTAACAGTAACAGCAGCTGCCATTTATGGACAGCTTGGTATGTTCCAGGTGACTATCCAAAACATCTCATACACAGTGGTTTATTCAAGACTCTCAGTCCCACCTGCTAGTGAAAAAGGATTGTCTCTATTTTACAGACATGAAAACTGTGGCTCAGGGAAGTTGATGCACTTACTCAAAGAAAAGACTCTTGTGTGGTTCTTCTGAATGCCCCACAATGCTGATCTTAGAGGCAAAGGATAATTTACATTGAATGTGGGAACTGACCTTCTCATGCAGGCAGTAAGTGGAGAGGTCATAAGCTACGGTCTGAGAACTGGGCTGGCACAGTGTGTTGTCCCTTGCAGAAGTACTTAATAAGCATTTCATCGTCTATTCAAAAAATTTGAAAACTGGAGGTAAAAACAATGCAGTGATGTGAAGTAAATGCAAAATTTAAAGCCATGAACCCCACAAAGCTTCAGTAGCAGTAGTGATTAATTGTGAACTTTGTGCGGTCCAGTTTACTCTGTGCGTGTTTACTTTGAAAGACCATTCATAATCATTTTTGGTGAAAAAATGCTGCAAGGGTATAGAGAACAAACCCACAGAAAAATCCCAAATCTAAACTTGAAGAATTGCAAATGTAATTGCTCACAAGACAGACATGTTTACCAAGGCCTGTGCCAGCTAACTTTCTTGAAATTCTTGTTATTTATCATCTGATAAAGGTGCTAATGTGCATTTGAATGGCTTAAAGTCAGAGCAAGAAGACATGGCAAAAATACACTGGCTAATTCATACCTGAAATAACTGGTACTTTTTTCAGAATACTTTCTGACAACTATATATTTCTACTCACCTCTCACAAAAGAAAAATTGAAAACAGTGCAGTTTGTGGCCATTTGTGGTTATGCATGTTACTTGAATTCTGAGTTATTTCTGTAATGTGGTTGATGGACCACCCCAAACACATCCTTTGGTGAACTACAAAAAAAAAAAAACAAAGCCCTTCTCCAGAAATAGATTATGCGTTAGCCTCTCCTGATCCTGTGGACTTGAAGTAACAAGCACCAAGGAAGCAAAGCAAAGCAGCTGCTGCTCCTGTCCGAGACAGGAAATAGCCCCATTCTTTCTAGGACTGCCAGTACTGGAATGAATAATAGCGATCTCACTTTTTCAGCATAACCAAGCAATGAAATTGTTCCTTTCCATGTTAATCACACAGTAAACAGTGTTGTGCTCCTGGAGAAAGTGACCGGACGATTCTGATAATGTGTGTGCGTGCCATGTATACACATGGCAGTACACATTCTAACACTGTGACTGGGATGTGGGTGGTCATCATGCATTTTCCATCCAGGAAGGCTTCTCTCATTTGCTCAGTCTGGGTTAGATGCTCTTCAACATTCTTCACCTAGAAGACCCAAAGAATGAGCAGATGCTGATCTGACACAGAGGGAAGGTAAACACTAGCTGGGCCACACTGGTTGTACAATATACTCTCTATTCACCTGGTTCCTCATCTGTATATATTACGATTAGTAATATCTACCCATCATGCTTATGGTAAGAATTAGAAATAACATCTGCAACTTGGTCCGGGGGCTTACTCAATGGTAGGCATTGTGAATGAAAATTACATTGATGTTGTTAGTAGTCTTCTATATCTAGGTAATGTTTCCGGGGTATTAGCACCATTTCTCACACTGTATTCAATTACCTCTTTGCTGAGTTATAAATGAAACATGGCTCCATTTAAACTTCTAGGCTGTCAACCTAAAAATTGAAAGTTTTGTCTATGGTTTTAATATGGGCATTTTTTTCCCATCAGAAAGGAAGAGTTAAAGACTTATGTGTCCTCTAATAGGCCATGTGAGAGCTAAAATTCTATTTCATGACCAGGAGTCTCATTTCTGCTATTTCTTATGTCTTGCTAGGTTGTTAGGCACAGTGTTTTGTGTATTACCCTGTGTTACGTATGTTCTGAGATTACTATTATTATGCATCATAACACAAAAGCTGAGATAGAACATCAAGTACCAGTATCATGAGTTCTTTTTAAAAATCTGCAGTGCATCTTTCTTATGAGATTTAAAAACAGCTAACTGACTTAGCAAGACTGCTGGCAGCACACATGACGCAAGCGCTGGGTTCTGATGGAGCAGTTGTCTGCGCCAAAGGCTCTCAGTGGCCACTCCTGGTTCCAGAGTCCTGGGGTAGGCTGCTACGTTAGGGCCACCCAAGCACCCGCAGAACAAAAGGAAATTGAGCCATGGGGCTTCCATCTAGTCCAGCCTCCCAGGACACAGACAGAGATGGCAAGGTGCAGGCTGTGCTTGCCAGACTGAGTTAACAGTTATAAGGACCATTTCAAAGGAGGCGATGCGTGATCTCTTTGAAGCAAAAAGGTGGGACTTCAGGACTGCACTTAAAATGTTGTGCCTGACATGCAGGCCCCTGCACCGCATGGCTCCCACAGTCCTCCTCCTCTCTAGAATTCTAGTTCAGTGCCGCAGCCCCAGGTCCTCCATATTGGGCATGACCTGGGCTTCACTGTCCATGTGAAAGGTAGGTTCAGGTCTGGAGTCCATGCTCCCCTGACTTCAGGTACCTTGTTATTCCTTGCAGTGGCCCAGGCTACAGAAAGATCTGATGAAGCACAGGCACTTGAGAGTCTATGTTACCATGGTTACCGCCCCCTTCACAAGTGTGCTATCACTTCCTTTAGACTTGTAGTCTGGGAGGAAGGAACGGGAGGAATGGAAACCAACTATGGGCTAGGGGTGGTAGTGGCCTCATCTTACTGCCAGTAGTGAAGGTTCTAGTCACTGCCACTTAACAGTAGGATCTCAGGGAAAATGTGGGTAAGAGAGGGATCTGGATGATGTTGTCTCTAAGTCCCTTCCAATTAAACATTCTATGGCCCCGTAATCGTACTTGGTCGGAAAAGAGTTCCACTCTCCTAGGTTAAACTGACAGGCACACATAGGATACGTAATTTACAGTATTTTCATTGAAGGGAAGAGGCTTTGTCATATTGCACAACCTTGAATGGTTAACCAAAAACAATGTAATAAGAGCACTACAAGGAACCCCACATCCCAGGCAGCTGGACTGCCAGCGGCCTTAACTATGAGGAACACAGCTGTGAGCCAGAAGCATGTAATTGCAAGAAAACTCCACTTGCTCAGCTCTTGGACAAGACATAAGGCATTAGCCTCTACTCTTTTTCAGAGTTAAAAAAGATGAAATGAGGGAAAGAGGCTAAAAATGTAGGTTTTCTAGGAGTAGAAAGTCTCTGGGGTTTATTCATTGGTCGAAGGGCTGTGGGACAGGAAGTAGGATCTGAATGAAAAGTGACAGAACCTCACAAGCTGCTACTTTAGAACAACAGTCTTTCTACTCCCCCACCCCCAGCTCCTTAACTTCGCACAGTAAATGCTTCAGAAAGCACCGTAACTCCTTAGGTCAATTAGGTTTAGGCTTGGCTTTTAAGACGAGTAGCTCTCACATCAGAAACAAGAAATGTGTTGATTCACAATGACCAACCAATCTTCTCTCTGGTTGGAGACTTCCCTGAAGCGAGCTTGGGGCTTGGGTAGGTGATTCACATTTTTTGGCCAGAAATGCACTCATTAAAAACCAAACATTCCCCTACTGCCACATGTTATTTTTGCTATTGAATCTTCCCTCCCTCTTGGCCTCAGCTGTAACAGGACAATCTAGAAACTTCAGCCAGGTCTTCAGGAGCACAAGGAACAATCTCTAGCCGGTGGCTGACAACCTTGCAGAGAGACTTCCTTTAAGAAGTGTGGTCCTTAAATCCATGGTCAATGAATTAAGCTGACATTTAACCATAAACAACTGCTAGATTGTTTCCTGGAGCCAGCTCCATGAAACAAAATAAAACTCCCTTATAAATGGAACGTATACTAATGGAAGATCCATTTTATATTCATCCCTGTAACATTTTATATGCATTATATTACAAAATTCCAAGAGGCCTTTTAAGAGACTTTTATGTTTGTCCTTTGTCTTCTGAGTCGAAGAGTGAAAACTATGAATTAATTAATGCTTTGAATCCTTAAGGATATATATTTCTCTCTTGCCTTAGAAAAGACGACAGAATGAGATCTTCAAATGACTTGCATAAAACCAACTAACATTCTCAGCATGGGTTCCAGAGTCTGGGTTTCTATTTTATGACATTTGACACAACTTAAAAGCCTACCTCCTCCTCTCTCCTTCTCCTCATCTTCTTTCAGCAGCTTGCCAACGGAATTATACCACTTGAATTGTGGATCGGGGATGCCATAAACACTACAATTAATCAAGGCACTGTTCCCTTCCTTGACTATGATATGGTCGGTTCTGGCAATGATTACGGGCACAGAGCCCAAGACCACGTCACTGCCATTTAAAGTGCTATTAGTCACAGTCTTAGCAGTGGCTAGAGTGGATACTAGGACTACAAAGGGCACAGTAGGTAGAAAGCACACAGGCAGATGGTTCTTCAATCGATCCATCTTCTTTGCTTGCTCTATAAGGCAACAGAGATGGTTTGCCAATGAAATCTTCTATCGGACAACACGCTTTCAGAGCAGACCATGGGACAAACCTGTCCTGGATCCATAGAGTTGGTTCTTGATTAAGAACCTGTTAAAAAAAACAAACAAAACCCACACACATAAATATTAGCACTTATTACTTTAACAGTATTATTTATAAAATGTTAGAAACCCAGCTAAAATACACACCTTCATAAGTTTTAAACACACAAATCAGAAGATGTTCTGAATGTTAAATGATATTTTTCGCAGAAATCGTAACAATATAATTTTATCATTTTTGCTACTGAAACATAGAGCTCTCTTAGTAGGAACAAATCTATATTTTGGAAGGCAGCTAAGCTCACCACTATACCACCAACGCCCAAATCTATATATTTTTTTTAATTTTTTAAAAATTTATTTATTTATGATAGTCACAGAGAGAGAGAGAGAGAGAGAGAGAGAGAGAGAGAGAGAGAGAGAGAGGCAGAGACATAGGCAGAGGGAGAAGCAGGCTCCATGCACCGGGAACCCGATATGGGATTCAATCCCGGGTCTCCAGGATCGCGCCCTGAGCCAAAGGCAGGCGCCAAACCGCTGCGCCACCCAGGGATCCCCCAAATCTATATTTTGTATGTGAAATTTGTAACACACAACTTCAGAGAGTTCCAAAACCAATTCAGGCTTCTTTCACTTAGCATTATAATAAGGTCTCCTCTATCCCATCACCTGTTGCTATTGCAGATGACCTGTTGACCTGGATCCTTCCTAACCTATTCTCTTTCCTTCCAGTTTACTTCGGTGGTCATGGCTTGGGTGCCGCCAGCATTTGGAAGGGCTCCACCAGCATCAGTCTGGCATTCTCCTTGCTCCCTTTATGGCTTCTAGATACGCCTTCCCTGCTTTGAAGCTACTGCCCATGCTCCTTTGAGCTTTGTACCATTTAGCTCTCTCTGTTCCCCGTAACCATTATCTACCAACTTGGGATCGCTTACGGAATTCCCTTGTTTCCGTCTCCATCTGACTCCCGGAGGCAGGGGGACATCAGTGTGAATGGGGTGACATTATGGTGGCTGTGCCTCTTATATACAAAGATCTAACTATCACCTACATCTCTATCCTCCATTTCATCCACCAATCACGCAGCCACACCCTGGACCTCTCATCTCTCCGAATTCTAAATTCCCAAGTTCCATGTAATTCTGAAGTTCTACCATCTTTAACTGCACCCCACCATTCTTCAAGATCTCTTACTCCACTCTCGCTGGACTTTCTAGACCTTCTATTTCCCTCAGTCTCTATCTCTACCTCCCCCTCTCTGCCACCCGACCTGCATGCTCCACTTCTGTCTCAGTCTAGACCCAGTCATGTAGACCACAACACCCTTCTCTTTCTGCCACAACTACTCTCCAGTATACACCTGTGATCAAGCTGATCACTTGTCATCCTGGCTCTTGTGCCCAGAAGGCTGAGCACCTACTGGAGAGAATCCTACAACTATATCTAAAGGAACCATCTCCAACCCCAGCCGGACCCTCGGTGACATATGGCAATCTGTGTATCCATGCTGAGTCAGTTCAGCATCCTCCTTTCCCCAAGATCCTTAGATACCTTAAGCTTTTGAATCAAGCACCTTAGCCCAGTGGCATCCTTATCTTTCTCAAAAGATAGTTTTCTCGTCCGAGGGCAGGCTGCCATGAATTCGCGCTTTCCCACCTTTTGGTAAGAATCCCCTGCATCTCATCCTAACTCTCTCCCCCACCCCGCCACTCCCTCCTCAGAAGACTACATTCTGTATTTTGCCTGCTCTTCACAGATACAGCTCTTGCTCAAGCCACCCGTCCCTCAGAGTTGCCAAGTTTTCAGTCTTTCTCTTGCCAGATCTCTGGCAACAGCTGCTGCTCTTAACTTGTGAGAAAAGTTCTTCCGTGGCTTCCACACTCTGCTCCTCCTAACTGCTCTCATCATTCTTCACTGGTTCCTCTTCTTCTTCCCAGTCCTTAAGAGGTACTTGACCCCTAGAGTTTCATCATTGGGCCTCTTCTCTTTTTACCCTCAGCTCTTACCAAAGTGCCACTCCCATGCCTTTATTTACCACCTACAGCCTAATGACTCTCAAATCCATGTCCTCGGTCCTCTTTCCTGAATTGCTGACTGGCATTACTAACTGTCCACCAAACCACTTTAGCAGGATGCTTTGCAAGTACCTCAGAATTAATATTCCCAAGCCAAACTCATCTGCTAACTGTGCTACATTTCCTGCATCCCTTATTTCAGTTCAGGACACCACCATTAACTCAGGTATGCACAGATATAATCCTCAATTCCACTATGACCCTGGTCCCCTCAGAACTATAGGTTGCTGATACCACCTCTTAAATGTTGCTTGGATTGTTCCAGCCCTTGTGTCCTCTGACTGAGCCTCAGTTTAGCCTCCTTACTTTTCCTTACCAGGAATGGTGTGGTAGCCTCCTGTATAATCTGCCTGCCTTCAATTTTACCCCAGTTCCCAATCCAACAATCCAATCCCTATAACCATTCTGCAATACAAATTCTATGATGCCGTTTCTATATTTAACAACCTTCAGTGTTTCTGCACTATCTACATAATAGAATCTGAATTCCTTACTCATTACTTTATATTAATTTTTTAAAATAATTACTGAACATCAACTATAAGGCAGACATTATTGTAGGGCCTAGAGACAGAAGAGTGGACAAGACAGATCTTCCTTGTTATGTGGATATTACATTGTCATGGAGGAAAACAGACAATAAATACCATGTAAATAAGAATTGCAGCTAGTGACACATGTACTCAAGTGGTGAGTTAGGCAATCAGGGAGGACTTCCCTGAGGAGGTGGGAACTTCACCAAGGAGGTGGCCCCTGAGCTGGAGTCTTTGGGAATCAGCCACATATAGATCTGAGAGAAGAGCATTCCAAGAAGAACTACAAAAGCAAATGAAGCACTGTAAGATGGGTCACAGGAGTACACAGGTCCAGATCACCTAGGACTTTGGATTCCACCTAATGTTCACTGGAACATTTTAAACAAAGGGGTGATGGGATATGATTTCTTTTTTAAAACCAACTTTATTGCTGTATAAGTTACAAACAATAAAATGTGCCTATTTTAGGTATACATTTTAGTGGGTATTGACAATTTATATATTATGTAACTACCACAATAAACAAAATATGGAATGTTTCCATCATCACCAAAAGTTGCCTTGGGCCCCATTTTTACACTGATCCACTCCAGTATTTTTTTGTGTGTAGATATATGGCATGAGGTAAGGATTGAGACTCCTTTTTCCCCCATATGGATAATCCAGTTGTTTCAGTACCAGTGGATTATCTTGCCTTTTTGTCAAAAGCAATTGAGTCTACTTCTGAACTCTATTCTGTTGTACTTACGTTTATGTCTATCCTGTGCCAGGACCACACTAACCATTCTGTCTGCCTCATTCATCTTGGCACCTGCAGTGTGTGAAGCTGGCCCTGACAATAAGTTACTGAACAAATGATTCTCTCTCCAAAGGCAGAAATAATTATTCCAGTTCTGGAGGCAATGAAACTGAAGAGGTAAATAAATTAGGGGTGATAAATTAGCTTCAGACCATATACTTTTTCAGTGGAAAGGACAAAGAGTTTTCTTGGTACTGCAGGCTTCCATTACTCCCCCGTGGACTTGAGCACCTTCCTGCCCCAGGAAGGCCAACACATTTTTCCACCAGCAGGAATCGTGGTCTAAGGGAGATAGCATAGGCTGCAACAGCATGACACATACCCTGTTATGACTTTGTAAATGTTTTCTTTACTTGGCTAACTTGTGGTTTCCTTTTAATAGGGAAGTTGTAAAACTGACCTATTCAATACAGAATGGTTGTTTAAGAGCATGGCCTCGAGTTGTAGGTAGACTGGGCCAGGATCTGGGATCTGACCACCCTTACTGGCTGTGTGTTTTTGGCCAAGAACTCAGGAAGTACAAGATAATTATAAGGATTCATGATCAAATGTTCATAAAGCACTTCTATAACGTTCAGCTTGAAAACAAGAATTATCAACTATGTATAAGGCATCCTTTGCTGAAATCAGGCCTCTCAAATAGATTTTTACCAAAGCATTCAAAAGACATACCTTGTTTTTGTTTTTACTTAAGACAATATTAACTGCCTTCCCGCCACCAGAAGTAATCACAAGGGATTTTCAGCACTGGGTCCTTTCTCGGGGACTCGAGTTTGAAAACACACAAGGCCCCTTTGGGCAGACACTGCACTGAGCATCCTCAGGACAGAATCTGGAGTCACTCCTCTCTGACTCCCTGACGTCTACACCAGAGGAGATGCCTGACTAAATAGTTTGGGGAGAATGACAGTCGAGACAAAGTTCAAGGTAGGTTCTAATACATATATGTAGTAAATATACTATGACTTTTTTTTTTTTCACAACTAGGAAGAATGCAATCAATGGAAGATCAAACTGAGTTTTAAAATGCAGAACTCTAGAACTGTTTTCAAACAAAGGCTGTTGGTTTTCAACTTTAGAACACCTTGTGCTAGCAAGACTAAAGAGAATGGAACACTGCTGTTCTATTTTAATAATGTCAGTAGGTACTTTGTACTAGAAACACAGCAACTGTTACAGAACTTTTAACTAGTTCCCTTAGAGACTTTCACAGGTACAGAGGCAGAGATTTTGATTCTAATGCAGGCATTTCAGTTAGCAAATTCATTCCTCCCCCCTCCATCATACTCCCATCCTTTCACATTTTGAAAAGTTATCAAAGTACAGAAATCATAATGTGTAATTTGTAGGTTGTTTGTATCAATGCATTTTTACTCAAAAACTCTCTGTGAACATTTTAAAAAATATTATTTATTTATTTATTTATTCATGAGAGACACAGAAGGAGAGAGGCAGAGACTTAGGCAGAGGAAGAAGCAGGCTCCATGCAGGGAGCCTGATGTGGGACTCAATCCAGGAACTCCAGGATCACGCCCTGGCCCGAAGGCAGTCGCTCAACCGCTGACCCACTCAGGGATCCCTGAACATTTCTTTTTGAAAATAAAGCATTTAATTAATCAACACTAATGAATTACAA